GACAACACTTTTCAGATAATAGCTAATATCGATTTTTTTACCAAGTTGTCTTGCTACTTCTGGGTACTCCATTTTGTCCCCCACTCTTTCCAATGAATTATTCTCAACTACAACATATTTAAAGCGCTCACCTGGTTCTGGAATTTGATAAAGATAAGGCTTGGGTATTAGGTCCTTTTTAATGAGCCATTTGGCATCTGCTTCTTTACGGGTATGTCTATCTCGCATTCATGAAATAAAACGCTGTACACTCTTGTTATCTTTATCAGACCTCCACACAGCAGTTTTAATTATTTCATTAAGATTTGTCTGAGAAATATCCTTTACAGTTTTCCTAAGAATATTCTTTATGATTTGATGTAAGGTACATGAATTATCCACCTTCATAAATTCATCCATAATATACCTTTCTACTTTGCAGAAAAGACTTGACTTTCCTCATTTTACAATCTCAACTCCTCGGATGAAAAGCTCTTTATTAAAGTTTGGCTTGCTTTCATGTCTAATACTATAGTATTTTTTCTTTCCAGTAAAAACTACCGGAAATAAAACTTCCTTATATGCTATTTTAAGATAAGACGAACCATTATCTTCTCTGAGAAAAGTATTAACTTCGTCACAGAGTATTCCAATTTCTTTCATAGAGATTTGTACTATTCTAGACCAATATTTTTCTTTCGAGATCCCATTACCATTGTCATATGCTTCATCATATTCCTGGAAACATTCTTCTGGAAGACGAGATATAAGGAATCAGTATCACTATATTTTATCCCAAATCTCTTATTTTTAACGAAATCTGCAACAAGTTTGATATTTCTCTGTTCAGCTGATATGACATCCTTAGCAAGTTCACGTAAGAAGAAAATAGACTTGCTATCTCCAGCTGTATTATAAAATGTGTTCATGTATACCTTAAGAGCATTTTGTTTTGCATCAAAGCAAGAATAATCAAAACAAACTGAATCGTATTCTGCCATGAATTCATACTTTTCTTTATTAATAAAATAGTATAGGTTTTTGTTAAAGTAGGCACGTTTTTTCTCCTCTGCTTTTGCTAAAACATATTCAATAGCTTCTGATAGTGACAAACCTTTACCCATTAAACCTATTACCAGTTCCATGTCTTCCTTTCTTTCTTTTAAAGGGACAAGATGTTTCTTTATCTCATTCTGTTTGCTAGATAAATATTCTAATATTTTGACATAGAGACCTTTTTCTTCAGGAATATTATTATGTTCTATAGACCATGCAAGAATATCATTACCATTGAATTTGAAATTAATTTTATGAAGACTTTTGCCACTATCTCTCAGAGACTCAGCATGTTTTCGAGATAAAATAATTTTATAGGTGAGAGGTTGTAAGTCATAATAAGACTCAAATATAATGATGCAAAGTCTAAGCCAGTTACAGAACGTTTATTTTCGAGCCCCTTTATTGGTGGGAAGACGTAGGCACTCGGGAATGATTCTGTCTCCATTCGCTCTGAAATTGTACTGGTTAAAATTCCTTCCCGCAATGCACTAGCACTTAAAAGATTGCTTACTTTCATTCCTATTGCAAAATAATGCGTATTGAATAATGATATAAATGCTATGCTTGCAACCTCCCTGTACTCATTAATTATATTGCGCTTAATCATTAACCGCTAGCAACTAAGAGCATTAATGATACAATACTCAGCTATTTTACGCATCTGCTTAGCCATTGTGGCATTAGTTTCTTTTAATGCCCTTTCATAATATTTGTTCATGCAATGAATAGGTAAATCTACTTTGTTGTCAAGATTACACTCCTTTAAGTAATATGCGAGACTACTTTTTTCGGCTTTAGGTAGAATTTCTTAAAACAGGATCAGACATCAATAGCCATGCATCCAGGAATTTTAAGATGTCTCGAATAGAAGTTCCCATCATTTACTTTATCATGTTATATTGATATTGCCATTTTGTAATCTTTTCGAGGCTCATAGGTTTTAGTGACATATGATTGAACATCCATTCGAGAACTCCTAACTTTTTTGCCTTCTCCACAATAAATGGCCAGTCATATTGTGAATCATTAAAACCTATATGTATATCCAGAACTAAACATTTCCAACATAATGCAAATGCTTTCAGTAAATTGGTTTGGTTCTCACATACAACTGTGATCAAGCGTGAGTCTGACGCAGTTTCAACATCAATAAGACAGATTTGTTTTAATAGTTCGGGATTATCTTTCCAATGAACAGTCATACAAATCATGAACATAACGTCTTCTTCATATTTTGCATTAGGCACCTCACCTGTTTTTCGTGAGCTATATGTCTCGATATCTCATGTGAGAACAAGAGTGCGATCCTGTGAAAGTGCCGAGGAAAATAATGAATTATTATAATCATCTTCACTGATTGGATTGTAATTGTTCACAGATACTTGAAAGGAATAAATATTTGCCGATGAATTTCCTTTGTATTTGTATGAATAGTTACTTAGTACCGCCCAGCTTGAAAGAGTTAATTTTTTTTTATGGGCTACTTTGCGATAATAATATATAGGATTTAAGTCATCAGAAGCGGTGTTAATATCAACTTCACGAACTATTTTTAATGCCTTATATCGATCAAAATGATTCTAAGTAGTAACACGTATATATGGTTTTTTTTCTGTATAATACCCTTGAAGTGAAAAAGCGCTAATATGCTCGATTCTGAATTTCGATGTGCCTTTGAGGGTATTAGACAGTATATTTACTAATCTGATCTTAAATGTAGGTAATGATGTCTCTTCAGGTACTACGACATCAAAGAAAGGTTTAATGCCCATAACATTCACGATAGCCTTTTGCCCATTAATCAAGCAACCACTAACACGCAAAATATAGGTGGATACTCCATTAATGTATTCGGCCTCATCACTTACAGCAGTAGGCATAAAGTGTACAGGTTGCTTATTAGATAAGCATTGCTGAAGTATAGCGGTCATCCCATTATCGAATTCTGCCATAATATCATTACATGATGGAATACCAGCTACAGACTCAGTGCTATCGTAGCGGATGAGAGTTTCGCGATCAGTTTAGACGAAATTAGTTTGTGTATGCATGATGTTAGTTTGAAAATATTTATATTACTTTATAAAATTCAAAAACGTTTAATTTATTTTTTTTAGAGGATGTAAAAAGAGGCGTATAGTAACCTAGTAAGCAAATCGTAAAAGGAAGACAAATGAATATGCAACTGAAAGTGAGGGCTTCTGCATAATCTATTATATAAATATTGGCAGAAGCCCCTATCTCAATGGTATGTACTTGGGTATGATATAGCCTTCACGTAAAATGCTTCAGAACGGGCAGACTCTAGAGGCATTGGGCAGGCTTTTGATAGAATGAAAATGCCTAATGCTATAAGTTGACCCTAATAACTTATCGAAAATTTAGCCTCATGAAAAATTTATAGGGACGCTCAGAAAAAATAGCATACATACTACCTCAACCCAGTTTAAGCCATGATCAGACCTCGGAAGTGCTTACAACATTCTGCAAATATACCTCAACATACTTTCAGAAATACCTTGGAAATATAATTTGAAAATACTAGAAATGTAACAGTGACGCAACACGTATATTGCAAGCATATCCCTCAAAAGTAATGAGAAAGTGCCAGGAATATTCTCAGAACTGAAGGCGCAATAAATTAACAATAATGTCAGTCAGCACTATTCCATAATTTTGGCTAAAATTGGAACATAATAACTCGGCATCCAAGCTGATATAAGTGGTCTAAAACTGGCGAATTAATAGAACTACACTAGCACCTTGCCAGTTCCTCACCAGTATCATGACAGCTTCAGTATACTATCAGGTCACTACCATGATGCCAAGCTAGATACTTGAATCACATACCCAAAAGATCAGCCAGAGTTATAGTATAGAGCTGGCAAAAATTAATCGCAAATTCACTGCGCCACCTGTCGCCTCTTTTTTTACACTATTTCAATATTTTAAAGGGCAACCAAATAGACGCAAAAAAGTAGCATCCTCGATATCTTAACAGGTCACCAAATAGGCTCAGAAGCAGAAAAACAAGCGAATAGTTCTTTAAAAACAAAAAGAGCGTAAAACATTGTAAATACATGAATAATTCCTTGATAATAAAAAGAGGATAAAGCAATAAAATCAAGCAAATATCTATAAAGCAACCAAATAGCCACAGACCAGTGAAAACTGATGGACAACAATAAAGTAACAGAAAGGGCACAGACACGTAAAAATAAGAAAGTAGGTATCTATATAGCTATAAGTAGGCGTCATTATAATGTAAGTAGATAGATTAAGTAGGTGTCACTATAATTATAGTGACACCTACTTAATCTATCTACTTAATATAATAATTATATATGAAGTTAAAATAGATTATTTTGACTATCCAAAATAATCTAAATAGTCAAAACATTTCAATATTGAGAAGGTTCAAAAGTTGAATTGGTCAAAATGATATTATATCACATTATTTTTTATATATATAAAAATCTAAAAAACAAAATATATGGTTTCAATCAATATTATTCTATTGCTCATAAAACAACTATTATTTGATTCCTTGTGACTAGATGGATTCAATAAGCTATATATCATCTATCTTAAATTAGCCAATATCAAGATAATCATAATTGAATAATCAGCTGAAATTATAATTCAATGAATTTTACTTTAAATATAGAAATCCAGATTTTGGAAACACAATTATGATTGTTTCAAGATTAGCTAATTTAAAATTAATGATATTTAGCTCATTATATCTGAGTAATCGAATGGTAGTTATTTATGAGCAACAGAGTGATATTGATTAAGATCATACATTTTTTGTTATTTTTCTAGATTTTTTTATATAAAAAATCATGTGATATAATGTTATTTTGACTATTGTGACATTCATTTAACTTTGACTTTCAAATTTAAAACATTATGACTTTTGGGTTTTATTTTAACTTTATATATAATAATAATATATAAATAATAATCTTTATATTTTTATGTATCAACCAGTTATTTTAATTAGCACTAATAATAAATATTTTGTGGCATTTCTTTCTAAATTAGTAGATAATTGTATACCTATACCCAGTGTTGTCATGGGACATAGTTAGGACATTGATGGGACATTGATGGGACAGATGGGACATTTGGGACTTATATGGGACATAGTTGGGACATATAATTGGGACATATAGCTGGGACAGCAAATGCTTGGGACATAGGAAATGGACATCACTGCCTATACCTATAATTCACCAAAATATATTAATTCATAATTCAAGAAATATTGATTCTAACCATTTTTTTGGTATTTAAAATCACTTTATAGTATAATTTTTGATATAAACTATAATATCAGAAAAAATTAATAGATTAAACAAAAAAAATAAATTCAAACCAATTTGATTATATTAATCAGCTTACTATTCATATTTCTAATAATACAATTTAAGAAAAAAAGAGGAGAAATCTATGAAAGAAGTGCAAATAATTTCATTTCAAAATATGAATTTGCATTTACTTACAGATTATCTTAAAGCTATACAAATAATTGCTAATATTCCATTATTAAAAGAATATTTGTTATCAAAAGTTATTGCAAATTGGTCTGGATAACTTTTCATAAGTATGCAATTATACATCTTTATTTACAAGGTGATTAATCTTATATTCCTTCATATATACATAGCTTTATCCCTATTTTTGAATCACTTTGTTTCGGATATAACATTCTTAATATTATTAATGTAAGTTTTTAAATAAATTTTTTTATATTGATAAAATTTATAGAATATTAAAATATAACTATTTTTATATTGATTAAATTAATTTCTTTTAGAATTAATTAATATGCAATTTATCTTCTTTTTTTTTTTTTTTTTTTTTTACTTTTATTAAACAACTAGTAGAAATTTTATCTGTATTCTTTCTTCAAAAAGATTTAATTAAAATAATAAAAATTTTTTTAACATAAAATATTATGCAATTGATATTATAAATACAAGAAAATTATCTTTCTATGCAGTATTTAAGGAGAATTAATACCATAGTTATTTTTGCATTTAAGTATTCCTCAGAAAAGCTTTTTCTACTGAATGAACAATTTTCCATTAAGAAACTGATTAAAATCTGAATCAAGAATTTTGGAAAGATCTGGAAGACTGATCAAGAGACCGGTTTACAAGGCGGTTCAATTGAAATAAAAAAGCAGTCATTTTAGAATGGACTGGACTGACACAACCCTACCTTTTTTTTTTTATTTTACTTAGCTAACTCAGTACATTGAAAACTTTGTAGAAAAAAGTTAATTGCAATAAAGAAAAGAAGCAAAGACAAATTTGGTTCATATTATCGCATAACATAATGAAAATAATAAAGTATTTCGATTGTTAAAAATAATTCCACGATTAGTCTTTTTTTTTTTTTGATATAATACCATCAGTTTAGCATAAGATTGATGTCGTAAGAAGAAAATCGGAAATCTATAGGGTTATAATTATCAAAGATAATTTAATTCATCACATAATAAATGATTTCATCTGAAAAAAATAAATACTGTATTTATAGAAAAATATATTACAATTAATTAATCATTTGATTTAGCGGCACAGATTTTTTGATTTAGTCATTTTCGACATCTGTAAAAAACATTTCTTTAGTTTTTTTTTTGCCCTTGACTTTTTATTATAAAAACTTTATTTTTCTTATAATTACCTTACTTTAATCGGTCCATCGCTTTTTAATGTTTGAAATTTATCTCTTTTTGTACATTTTTTACAACTCTACATTTAATCTCAAAATGGATATGATATTTTACTAGATCCAAAGAATAGCAAAATAAAAAGGCCAATATAAGAAGAACATTTGCGAAAGCGAACAATAAAGCTAAGTAGCAATAGTTAAGAACATTAAAGTCCATATTTTAATATTTTTTTTTACAAGAGAAAATCCGAGGGTAAAATGCAGAATTTTTGGGAGGAATTTATTTATACTTTTCGCATGGGTCATTGTAACTTTTTTTTCGCATGAAATAAATATAATTACAAATCTGAGTTTTCTAATATGAAAATTTACTTTGGAAAATATTGACGTCCATGCAATTTGGCGCAGTAATCAATCAGGGTGTCGATCATCAAAAAAAATATTTAAAAAAAATGTAATAGATGATCATACATATACATTAGGGTCTTTCTCTCTATACTACGAGAAACATGAATTTAGGCATAGTACACGGATTAATACCAAATGTTCAAAAAAAATCTTTGGTTAAATTTAAAAATGATCCATACATTTTTGATATTGTATCTACCGATTCATTTTGTGTGGTATCAGACTCAAGTCATGAGTTAAAATCATATAATTATAAGAATAAAAATCTTACATTTGATGGAAAATTATCATATCACAATGATTCCATCACAAGTTTGAAAATACACAATAACCATTTGTTGATATCGAGCTCAAAAGATGGTCGTATCGCGATTTGGGATTTGAGGGCATCAAATCAAGATCCATCACAAATTTTTTTAGGTACATGTAATTTATTTATTCAAATTTTCACTAATTATTATTAAAAAGAATTTTATTTTTAACATTTAGCATTTATCAGCAAAGAATCGGGAACCTTTGCTTTCATTTGATATAAACATATCTGATACGATGTTAGCAGCAGGTACCGAACTTGTCGATAAAGATGCAAAGATTTTATTTTGGTACATATCTATCATATCTGATACTTTTTTTGTAGGAAAAAAAAATTGATAATAATTAAAAAATTAATTAAAATGGTTTTTTTTTAGGGACTTGAGAAATCCCTCATCGTTGCAAGCTGAATTTGTTAAATCCCATAATGATGATATAACGCAAGTCAAATTTCATCTAACAAGCCCATCTCAACTAATTACAGGATCCCTTGACGGATTAATATGTAATTTTGATTTAAAGGATTTTAATGAGGATGAAGGATTGGTTGGCGTAATAAATTCTAGATCATCAATCAATCGAACTGGATATTTTGGACCCAATGCCGAATATATTTATTGTCTAACTCATAATGAAACATTTAGTTTGTGGGATGCATCGGAAGTATGCCTTTACTATTCATGATATCAAAAATGTTCTTTATTAATCATTCTCGATGATTTGTTAAATGTAAGACTAATCTTCTAGGCAGATTTATTATGTGATTTCGGTGATATTCGACAATATTCGGCCATAAATTTTGTTCAAATTGACTATGCCATCGATTGTCAATTCGAATTTTCCACCAATAGATTATATCTCTTTACCGGATCTAACACGTAAAATTCGCGTTTTTTCTTTTAAATTTGTTTTTATTGACTTCTTTTTTTTTAAAAAAGGTTTTCTGTTTGATTTATAGTGGAAACATCAGTATGATACATGTAAGTGCTAATGAACTACAATTATGTCACACATTTAATGATGCTCACTCGGAAATAGTTCGAAGCGTCTATTGGAATCCGCAGGTTAGCTCAAAGCCTCTTGGCTGACTTTTTTTTAATCCACTTTGTTTATTATTATTGTTATTAATTTGTATAACTATTACTATTATTATTATTACGATTATAATTATTTTTCAGACAAATGTTTTTCTCTCCGGCGGCGAAGATTCAAAACTATGTTTATGGGAACCATAAACAATAATAAAATTATGTTAATAACTCCGAATATATAAATAATACCGCATGGTTTGTAAATGGTAGAAAATTCGAAGTTGGTTAACGCATTGAAGTTTTCAATAAAGAATCAATCGCATGATTCGTGTAAAATAGTCCGAATGGAAATAATGGTGCAAAAAATCTATGACACAAAGCTTCTGTTGGAGTAAGTCTTTTGGAAGAGTTATAGTTGGAAATTTCATCAATAAATTTAATAAAATCCATATCATTAGTATTTAAAGTTTTTGATAACTTTCTAATTCGAATCGACTGTAACCTATACATATAAGAAAATTTTACATTAAACAAATTTATTGCAAACGCACGATATTCACACTCCCTTTAACTTACGTATTCTCATTCGATCCTGTTGGCCAATCTTTCAATCCATTATCAATTCGGGTCGAATACCAAGCAAAATTTTTTGCATTTCTATATAGCGAAGTTGGGAGAGCCTAACAATTGTTCCATTTCTTTGATAATCCCAATTTTTGTATCACTTTGAAAAATAGGGCAACCAATCCAAATTTCACATATGATACATCCTAAAAATCATTCATCCGAAAAAATTATAATGGAAATTTCATTAAACAAGTTATTATGAATTATTCATACATACCGAATGACCACATATCGATTTCATAACCAAAAGGAAGGCCCAGTAAAACCTTGAGAAAAGGAAAATTTTCAACATGTAGAAAAGTGTAATGTATTTTTTTAATTTTTTTTTAAAAAAAGATTATCTCTACCTCCGGAGCTCTGTATAAAAGACTTTGAATTTCAAAACTTTCCATATAATATTTTACATCATCCAGACCTATTGCGTTACCAAAGTCAATTATCCTTAAATTATGAGAATTCTCTGTGACGAATTCCATACCATACATATCATGTCAATAAATGGTAATAATTTTATACATATAAAATAATCTATTTTAAAAAATGATAAATTACCTGTGACAAAAAGAATGTTTTCCAACTTCAAATCACCGTGTATTACAGCCATATGTTTAATATAAATTAAAGCGATTAAAAACTGACAAGCTATCTTTCTAATAATTTGCAATCGGAGTTGTTCATTAACCATATATGAAATTTTTGGCACACCACCTCGATAATATTCAAATACCAAGCAAAAATGTTTGTCAAAGAAGAACGTATTCAGTAGTTTGCTAATATGAGAGTTTCCATAAACATCATGCAAATTTAAATAACGTAGTTTTTTACATTCCTAATAACAATTAATATATGATTTAGAGATGAATCATAATATTATATTTAATTGCAAATCAAACCTCAAATCCAACGCGGTTATATTTGGAAATCATGATCTTAATGGCTACTAAACTCCTATTGCGATATATGTCCTCAGCGCATACTGTCTTTGAAAAAGCGCCCTCACCAACTATATTGATTACTCGATACCGACGCGCTAATGTTAATTGATTAACGATTTCTATTGGAACAAGACATATAAGTTAACAAATTTAATAAAAATTGGTAATTAAAAAATCATGGTTACCTGGAATATCATTATCTTCTGAATGATGGCGCGACGTACCAGCATAGCCATCGTTCCAGGTCGCAAAATCTGAAATTTTGAATAAATTACAACTCGGTTGTCCAACAACTTCTTTCTCCTTTTCCTTTAATAGCTTTTGTTTTAAAGTAGTTCTTTGTGTAAACTGGAGAGACCTACAGTAACTCTTTGTACAATATTAAATGGAGCAGTCGTTGGCTTGCAGTTGCTTTGTAAAGAGACTTTGAATCTCTTCTTGTTTTTTTAAAATATCTCGAACATTAATTAATGAAGAAGCATTAGAAAACATTTGTTTGTTTTTTTTTTAAATAGATTTGTACCAATTTTTGATCTACCTTACATAATATAATATGCTGATGAGATTAAGTAGCACGAATTATAAAACAAAAATTTTTAGGGTTTTAAGTGTACCCTAGAAGTTATAATGTAATTACCAAATTTTCTCGCATACTTACTTTTCCAACTTATATGATGGAATTTATGAGTGATATTGGCTCAGGAGCCGATATTTACCGTCCCTCGTTGTTCGAGTTAGTCGCACAAGAAAAATTGCGCGATCTCATTCAACCAGCCGTCAAATATATTTTATCGGTTAATATCACTTCAAAGGCTTAAATGCATTACTTGAATATAACATAATTTTTTTAAAAAAAAAACTTGCAAATAGGTCTATGCTCAACGATATCCTCGATACTTGCTTCGCTTATTTAATCAATTTGATGAATTTTATGCTCTTGTTACGTTGTTGATTGAGAAACATTACTTGAAAAATCATTGTAAAGTATTCTGCAACGTTAATACTTTTTTTTTCATCAATTTATATTAATATTAATCCAAATTTTGTAGACGCGTCTTTTGCTGAAAGCTTTTATGGATTGAAAAGAATTCGGTCAATACGAACAAAAATAAACTTACCTGAGGCAGCACCGGATGCCGATTTACAAAAACTGAAGAATTCTGATATATGGTTATCCTTATGTTTTTTGGTAAAAATTAATCGATTCACCACGCTATTTCTTGCTTTTATCTTTAATCAATAACATTGTTAATTTCAAATTAAGGTTGGAATTCCTTACATAAAAACAAAACTCGATAATAAATATGAAGAAATTAGTGGAGGCGCTGGTGCAAGATTATTAGGTGTCACATTTTCTCGAGAAAATAATGATGGACATATTCAAGTATGTATTCTTAATTAGTTCAGTAATTCAATTTAAGGAAACTTTTCAATTTTTATTGATCAAATCTTGAGCAGATTAATCGTAGAGAACGTATACGTCGTTTCATCCGGCGATTTTTTAAGATACTTTATCCATGGCTGAACGCTTTTTATCATGGTTCAAATCTATTATATAACATTTTATATTTATATGATAAAACGTGTTATTATACACCATGGTTAAGATTAATGGGCATAGAAACCCGTAGAATGACTGCACAAGATTACGTGAGTAAATTTTTTAAATGTGATTCATTGTATACATTCTTTTTTTTAACTTCTAAATTTTTCTATTACTTGAATGGGTTGACTATTTGGTAGCGTGAGCAGTCTGAAAGAAGAAAGAATTCATCTAGAAATAAATTGCAATCTACAACGCTGCTTCAAACCAGCCGTTATTTTTCAAGCCTGATTTTATCGGATTTGCTAGACTTTCTCAAAATTCTATTGCCAATGTCTATATTCTTTTATAGATTCCTGGAGTGGTGGTATTCGAGCGAATATGCAAGACAACCGGGTCGTGTCGATGGAATAAATGTGCCACCTCCTGAAATCATAGCGGTATGACTTTACGCAAGAATTGATTGTTTTAAATTTTTTTTTTTTTTGCATTCAAGATTTAATCATTTTATTTAATTAGCCTGATCCGCGAGGAATTCCACTTCCAGATACACCTAATCTATGTCCGATTTGTTCGAATCTTTTGACTAATCCAACAGCACTTTCATCCGGGTATGTTTTTTGTTATCTTTGCATTTCTCGTCATATCGAGGATTATGGGAGATGTCCAATAACTTTGATCAAAGTTGAGATCGATGAACTAAGGAAGGTATATAATTCCTCTACTTAATTGATATTATGTAAATTACAATTAATATCTACAATAAATTATATATATATATATCGATTTTTAACATATGCTGCGCCTTTCAAGTTACTACTATGCATTTGAGAGGTTTTAACCCCTTTCCGGAATAGCGCAACAACTATGATTGGTTGATCACAAATTACACATGTAAAAAAAAAGATAACTTTTTTCTAGCTTCGAAACTAGAGGTGACGTCTCTGTGATTCATTGTAATAAAGCAAACCCCAAAAACGCGTACAAAAATATCTTTATTCTTAGTGGTGTTCGACGGATGCATTTTTTCTCTACGCGTTTTAAACAAACTTTTTTTCCTCAATCTTAAATTGTAAACAGCTTGCTAAAATATATTAGCAAAGTAAACCAAGAAAAATTACCTAATCTATAAAACAATTTTTCTAAAAGTTTGGTATTATCATCAGGTATCTGAAATTTTCTATTTCGATTATTTAATAATTAATGGAATTATCTTCAACTTTTCGCGAGCCGGTTGGGTTTTCTTTTATGGTTCATGAAAATAATTTATAACCTTTTTTAACTACAGATCGAATATAAAAAAATGAATACCAACTCAGAAACAGAAACTAATTTAGAAAAGGGGGTAAGCTAGAAATTAAATGAACTATTAATTCTAAATTTTATATAAAGTTAACTAACAATTTAATAATTTAAATATGTAATAATAGGTTACTATCGAACCACAATCTTTTGACATTATACAAGAAAGAATATCGACTAACTCAGAAACAGAAACTAATTTAGAAAAGGGGGTAAGCTAGAAATTAAATAAACTAGTGTTTCTAAATTTTATATAACGTTAACTAACAATTTAATAATTTAAATATGTAATAATAGATTAATATCGAACCACCATCTTTTGACATTATACAAGAAAGAATATCGACCCCCAACAATTTATCAGAAGAAATTCTGTCGGAAAAAATTCAAGATAAAGTTTCAGAAGCAGATACTGAATCTTCAACAAGTATATATATTTTATTATCTTTTTCTTTTTAAAAAAATTTTTTTATGTCTTATAAACATAAATAGCATGTTAATACTTTAATTATTCATAGAAACTAATACATCATCAAACTTGCGGAGGTCAACGAGAACAAGGAAACCACCAAGTTGGTTGTTGCAAGATGATTGTATGTTCTTGATTTCTTCTTTTCATAAACATTTTATATTTTATTATTAAGCAGTTAATTCAACAATAAAATTTCAAATATAGCATTAATCACCCGGCGGAAATCACGCCGAATAGATAATAAGGGCGAGGGAGATGATGATAAAAAACATGTTTCAGATGGTGAACCGATCAATGACATCAATAAATCAACACAAAATGTTAAGAGAAAGCGTGGAAGACGTAGTGAGGATAATACCCCAGATGAAATAATCAATGAGTCTAATACTCCAGTTCCCGAAATCATAATAGTTATGGGAGAACCAGAAGTTCAATTACACAGTGAAGATATTGATAAAAATATTTCCGATGAACTTGCGAATGATTCAAATGTATCAGTGCCGAATATTCAGAAAAAGCGGGGAAGAAGAATGAAGAATTCATCTACTCAAAATAGTGAAAAAAATGGTTCTGAGAATGGAACAGATGAATCAAATACAACGGTACCCAAAATTCGACGAAAGAGAGGAAGGTCGATGAAAGGATCTTCTCAACAATCTAACGATGGTTATGAAATTGCCAATGAATCAAATGGCTCAGCACCCGAAGTTCGGAAAAAACGAGGAAGGCCAAGAAAGGATTCTTCCACAAAGTCTAGTGAAATTCTTGATAGAAATAGTTCTGATGATAGTATGAATTATAACGAATCCGATACTTCAGAACCAGAAGTACGAAAAAAGAGAGGAAGACCTAAAAAGTCAACTTCGAAATTAGGCTCGGTGAAGCCGACTACAGAAACTCGTAGAGCAAAGAAGACAAAAACGCGCCAATCTACGCAACAAAGTACACCTGAGAATACATCAGAGAATTCACCTGAAAATATAAATAAAGGAACTTATGAGGATAATCTTACTTCACAACCGTCAATTCCGATTGAACAAAGTACTACGAGAAATTCTCTTAATCCTTTAGAAGATAGTGGAATGTCACTTTATCGTATGTTATTGAACTTTTTTGAATCAATTTATGAAAATGTTTTTTTTATTCGCTGACTTGTTTATTTATTACATTCAGAGGCGGTTCTTATGCTAGATAGAGATTTAGAGAGTACTGTATCTGATTGGGTAGAGACTTATGAAGTTGATAATCAAAAAGCTTTACTTATATTGATAAATTTCATAATTCGGGTTTGTACAGTCGTTAGAACATGATAGGAAAAGGTTTCATTCGAATTTAAAATTAACGTATTATACTATATTTATTTAGTCGTGCGGATGTCCTAAGACAATCGAACAGGAGGCCATTGAAGATGAAGATGCTATTGTTGAAGTTCTAAGCGAACTGCAAAATGCATTTAAAAAGGTAATTATCACCTTTGCAAGCGATTATTTTGTTAAATTTTTCTTAATCACAATAAACTGTCATCCAATTAGGAACTTGTTACAGATTATCCTCTTGTTTCAAAGGCCAGGGATTTTAAAAAATTCCGCAGAAGTTTTTTGGAATTTTTTCATCGGCTGATAAAACAAGTTAAACATTCTATATTGTATGACGGCCTCTTCTGTGAAACTATATATGCTTGGGTGTGTTCAATGTCAAGGTGCGACATTTATAATTTTTTTCACAAACTCATAATCATATTATTACTATTAATACTTGTATTGAAAATTTTCGTTTATTAAACTGTTCAGTTCCGCTTTCCGTCCATTTCGACATACTGCAGCCGCAATTGCTCTATACTTATTAAGCTGCCTTTGCGAGGTCGCTCAAGAGGTTCGAAACGAATTGAATATTGCTACTCGTCAGTTAACTTCGGAACAAATTAAAAACAAGAACTCAAGGAATTTAAGGAACCAAGATAGGATGAGTAGCTTGCGTTCAAAAACTGTAGAATTGACGGAGAAAAAACAACAATTAGAATCATATTTCAACGATTTTTTTAATGGGTTAGTAATAATAATATATGTATTCTAAAATAATATTTGATATTAATGAATTTAGATTTTTTTTTTAATTTTGCGTATAGTGTATTTATTCATCGCTATCGAGATGTCGAAGCAATAATACGCGCAGAGTGCGTTAAAGAATTGGGAGTTTGGATCGTAAAATATCCTGATCGATTTTTAGAAGATAAAGTTACGAGATATCTCGGTTGGCAATTGTCTGATAAAGTAATAGCAATGTTTCACCATGAATATCGTTAAATTTGAAATCAATTTCTAAACTAATCATTCTTATTCCTTTTATAAGTCTCCAATTGCTAGAGTAGAGGCAATTAGGTCGTTATCGCGTCTCTACATTAATGAGACGTTCATAAGTGGATTGCGCAATTTCACCGAACGGTTTAAACCACGTTTAATTGAAATGGCTTTACGAGAGGCCGAGCTTAGTGTTCGCATTACTACTATTAGTTTGTTAACCCAAATATATAAAGCAGGATTGTTAGAAGATGAGGATCGTGATGAATTATCACATCTTATATATAGTGATTTACCAAAAGTGAGAAAATCGATAGCTCCATTCGTTAAAGATTTATTAGACGAAGATTTTATTAGCTCGAAATTTACAAAAGTTCAAGCTTTTTTGTCCAGTAACGACACTAAACGAAAAAACAGAAGTGCAAGTAATGAAATTGTAAATTCTGTAAGACGTGAATGGGTGACTTTTAAATGTTTGGCGGAATTCTTGGTAAAATACAGAAGGCCGAAAGAAGGTTCTCAAAAAGATGATGAGCTGATTGATGAAAATATAGATGATGATGAATATGAAGATGGATCTTCAATTTTAGTCATTGGAGATGTAAAAAATAATAGAATAGCATTAGCTATTGAAGCTCTTTGGGGTGAAATGGAAACATTACATGACTGGCATAGTTTAGCCGAGTATCTTTCCAAAGATCATTCCCTAACAGATAATTCTAGTACTGCAAAAGGATCTCAGGGGGAGAACGATCCTATAGATGCCATCGAGGATTGTTATAGACTTAGCGAACGTGAAGAATCTGTGTTAGTTCAGGTTTTTGTTGCTTGTCTTAAACTAATTCTTGTTGATCCATTAAGCAGAGATAAGAAAAAGGTTGGTTGGTTTAAATTTTTCAATTTTCATTATTAGTTTTGTTCATTAAATTTGAAACTTTTTTAGACTGAAGCACAAATTGAAGAAATACGCGAAGAAATTTCAAGAAAGATGGTACATATTTTGCCCAGACTATTGACAAAATATGCCCCTGACGCAGGCCGGATAGCAGAAGTGTTGCAAATACCACCATTAATGAATTTACAAGTGTATTCAGAATTACGTATGTTAAAGGTGAGTGAATTTATTGATACTCCGTAAATTTACATAAACAGTTAATAATATGATAATTGTTTAATAGGCTTACGAGTTGCTAATTGATGATGTTAAGAAGCTTTTCTTGAAACACACACATCTGCTGGTTCTTAATCATGCCGTTAGAACTTTTTCACACATGGAGGCATATGAAACCTTTTCCTCGATTACAGAGACTAACTTGGGAGATTTACAAGAGATAGTTATCCAAACGTTTATAGAGGAATGTGAAAATAAGGTGAGTATCTATTGTTATTATGAATAAACGAATAATCAATCAATCAATCAATTAATTAATTATAATATTTACATCTCAAGGAACTATTGACAATGGAGTTGATTAGCGATCAAGTACATTCATTAAGAGTGGCTTTAACTCGGTTGGAGACATTAATTGGTTATAAGTGTATGATTGAAGTCGTTGAAGAGAGCGACGATAATCGCAAGGACATGTATTCTTGTTTCATAGAATTGACTCGGCGTGGTTTATTGAGTAATTATGACGAACAGCAGGTAATAATCAATGTATTAAGTCAAACGATCCATATTGTTATTGACAGAATAATATTTTTATGTGAAATTTATCAATATTACTTTTAGATCGTCTGTTCAGCAATTAGTTGCATTTGGAACTATCTGCTTTGGAAAGCTAATGAATTGCTTATTTCCAAAAGTCAACCGCCTTCAGAGATACCGCTTGATAAAATTAATGACTTAATTATTAGAAGAGATCAGATAGTTCAAACTTTATTTGAAGTTGGCTTATCGATTTCTTCGGAGGCACTTTTGAAGGTTAAAACAGCGGTAAACATTTATTTTGTCATTTATTATTATTATTATTATGATTATTGGAAATAAATCTGGACTAATAAATTATTTTATTAAAAAACGATTAGGCATTTTCGACTCTTGGTAACATATATTGGTTGTTTTCGAGTGATATATTTAATCCTGAAATTCGTCAGCCTAGTTTTTCCAAATTGAATCTTTCCTGCCATCCAGAATTTCAAGAAAGAATTGAACAATTTGTAACTGAGGAAATTCAAAATTTTAGAAATACAATATCATCAGTGAAATTAAAGCTCGAAGAAGAAACAAGATCAAGATTAGAGGAAACAGCATTAAAAATATTAGAAGACGCGTTGAGTAAAAAGTTAGAAACGGCGCAAAACAAAGAACAAATTGAAAACGAAATTGAAACAATTAGAGAAAGAATAGATTACATCCAGAACGAGGATGATGAAACCGAAAAACTTTTAGAATATGAACAAATTATAACACAATTAAACGAAACACTTGCACAAGAATATGAAAATTTTAGAGAACAAGAATATGAAAAACTTAAAAAATGTATGTATTTTGACCCTGACAAATAACATTTTAATTTATGATTTTAAATTAATTCTTTTACGTTTATACCCTTATAGTAATTAAAAATATAGAGATGTTTATTGATCCTGAAGAAAAGCAACAGATTTTGGAAATCATTGGAACCCTTGCACGAGGAGTTAGAGGTGGTTGGTTTCAAGATTCACGTGTCGCCATTATATTATGTCAATTAGGAACTCTTGTTAGCGATATTGACGACTTAATTCGAAAACTAGTCCAAGATTTCAAGGATCGTGTATCAGGAGGCGAAGCAAAATTATTTGCAAATATTTTCATTTCATCATTAAAAAAGGTATATGAAAGTCGGTAATGTATGTTTATATTTACTTCACTTTTTGAACAACTCATTAACGTTTGAATATTTTATAGTCTCATGAACTTTACGTGGAAAGTCATGTTGACACAATGAATGGAACTACATCACTTGCTCGTCTTTGTGCAAATGCATTGCAATTACGAGAAACTAATGACAAGGCTTCACGCAAGAATGTTGATTGTTTTGTTGATTTTCATCATAAAGGAATTTCGTTTATAACTTCAATGATAACGAAATTCAGAGTACTTGATAAAAGTGAAGAAGTTACAAAATCAATTAGATTCTTCAAGATTTTAAACACGTTTATCGTAGGAATGAATGTAAATGGTGCTCGACAAATGTAAGTCATGTGATTACTTTGGTTTATCTTTTGAAAATTTTATGACTGACAATTTTCAATATTTTAAATTTAGATACTCAATCCTTCAACAAGAAATGAATATCCATGAGATTAGCCCGTCAGAATTGGATAAACAATGGGAACCTTATTATTTGTACGTGCAGAAGCTTAATAACATATTAACAAAAGGAGGAGTTAGGATAGGTACGAAAATATCTAGTTTATTTGGAGATTTGGCACAATACGATACTTAAAAAATTTACACAATTTTCATCACTATCAGGTAATAAACGATCCGCACCAGTTGATGATGATGTTGAGAATTTGAGATCTCCAAAGAAAAGAAAGCCTCCTACCAACAAAGAGGATGCCAGAAACGGTGAAAGAAATGAAGGGTCAGATAGTGGTGAAAGTTTTCAAAGTCTGACCGATGTCCGTACCAAGAAGGTACGACGATAAAAAATGTGATCAATTTTTTGTAAATAGAAAAGTTAGCTAAGATAATAATAATAATAATAATAGTAATAGTAATAGTAATTAATAGTAGTAATAGTAATAATTATAAATTCAGAACCTTTTTTTGTAATACATGTAATTGCTATTCGCTAGTGAATTTTGGCGGAAAATAACATCATATAATAAAAAATTAATTCAATTATAAAAATGAAATTTTATTGGATGACAAATCAGATTTTAAATAAGAAATGTTAAATATTAATTAAATTAATCATTCTTGCACTAAAAGCGTTCCTCAATAATGAAGTAATGATGACAGAATTATAATCTTACAAAGATAAAAAATCTTTATGATAAACGCTAATTTATTTAATAATTTTTTTTTTTTTTTGCTGAAGATATTGAATCTTAGGAACCATATCCAAACTTTTCTTCATAACCGGGAACACCCCATTGACCTCTTTTAACCATTTTTTCTACGATATCATTAATCTCAGGTTTTGCCTTAACAATTTCCTCAACCTAAAAATATAAATTAATAAATAATAAATCACAAATAAGAAAAGTATAAAGAATAGATAAATAACGCACAGTAATATCTTCAAATGGCCTTGTATGTTCAATATTGGTCAGTGTATTTTGCAAATTTTTCAATTCTTCATCAACTCTTGCCACCGTTTTTCTTGCATTTTCAACCTGAAAATAATTTTTGTTTTTTTTTAGAAATTGTTATCTAATGATTTCTAATTTTCTATACCGTATATATCCCTACCGCTTTTGACTCGACATTTTCAACAATTTTCATTTGTTCAATAAGATCAATTTTAGCAGGTTTAAAGGATTTTAAAGCTTTTTCGGCTTCATTTACAATACCCTTATTTTTTAAAGTCGATCTATAATGTTCAAAGTCGATGTCAGTTTTTTGTTCTTTTAAAGCTAAGACTACTCTTCTTGCCTCATCGTTACGTTTACGAAAGGCTTGGAGTGCAGCTACGGTTTCTTTCTTTAACCCTAAAGAGACTGTAAGTTTTGACCAATCGATTTTAGCGGCAGCGCGAATTGAAGAGGCCATTGTTTAACTACTATCATTAAATTTCCGAATGCTAACGCTGATAGTTTGATCATGGTGCTACCTAAATCTAAATTGTAAATTGACCAATTAAGCTCACAATTTTTTTTTCAAATAAATAGGCTCGAATTCAAAAAATTTTGCCCGTGTTCAATTGTGAAAGTTTAATTCTTCAAGCGGATTATTTTTTAATTATGGCTGAATCTGCAGAAATTGCCTCTATGAAAATGAAACGACTTGTAGACGAGGCTTCTCAAGTCAAGTACATCCCTGGTGGTGCTCTAAAAATTTACTTTCGTTCAGCAAATACTTTGTTACGACAGGTAATACTTATTCATGCTTTTTTTTCCTTAAAAAGAAGTTTGTGGTTCTATCAATTAAGTTTATAGCAACTCGTTCATTATAGTCAAAGCTTTACATGAAAGAGAATGACTTAATGAACGCTTATAAATTCTATATGAGATATGCAACGTAAGTACTAAAAAAAATTTTTTTTAAATATTATCAAATTATTATTGATATATATTCTTTCATCAAATATAGATTAGCTCTCGAAAAACTACCGAGTCATCCAGAATACAACAAACCAGAGCATAAGGCTGGGCGAATTGAATTAGTTAAAGTGAAGTATCAATAACGAATAAGTTAAATTTTCCGATCGATCGATCTATAAATAGACCACTTAATTCAAATTATTTTTCTTTTTAGAATACGAAAGAAGTGCTTAACGAAATTACACGTTTAAAACCTAAATTAGAGGAACGTTTTAGACGAACAGCAGAAAAGGAAATTGCTGAACATGAGGCTCGACTCCAATCAACTCAAAAACCTGAAAGCATGCCTCGTCCATCTCAATTTCAAACGCAGCAAACCTTTGTTCCTTACGAACATTGGAATTTGGTTGAACAATTGAAAGACTTGCCAAGCCAACCGTCGTCTAATTTGTATGTGAAAAATTTTGATTTTTTTTTAATTAATTTTTTTCGATTATATTTAAACTGAAATTTTTATTTCGGATTTTTTTCTTTTTATTTTTTTAAAAAAAAGTACACATGAGGAACAGACTTGTCGTTCGGTAAATAAATTAAATTTTTCAAATCTTTTTTTTTTTTTTTATGCAAATACTTATCTTCTAAATATTATTCAAAGGTTGAATATCCTGGAATCTCAATGCGAAATCAAAGCGATGGGTAATAAGATTATAAATTATAATTATAATTACAGTTTTCCCTTATATATAACTCACATTATTAATTGTTATCGACTCGATTAGGTATATTTATCCGTCTATGGGGATGCCAATTATAAAAATACCTACCTCCTCTACATCTGTTATATCTTCCCCAGCATTACCTCCTAAAGTGAAATATGAACCTCCGCGACTTCCACCGAAGCCTAACGAATATATGGCTTCTTTTAATATTCCTAATGTTGAACCTATTTTTGAAAGCGAACCAGGTTCATATTTATTGCTTTTACTATGAAAATAAAAGATATACTAATTTTTTTATTTATTTTTTTATAAAAAGAATTTGCCGCTTTCACTGAAGGTGGTGAAGGTCTTCGAAAAGTTTGTCTTCCAAGAAATATATATGAAATTTTTATCCGAATTGCAGCCAGCAACACTTTAAAGAATTTAGAAACATGTGGAGTATTGTTTGGAAACTTGGTATTTTATTTTTCATCTTAAATAAAAAAAAATTTGTCTTTATTTTTTAATTCTAGCATAACTTTTTTCCCCTAGGCTAAAAACGTGTTTTCTATTACTACATTAATCATTCCTAAACAAACCGCTACTTCTGACACGTGTACAATGACGAATGAAGAGGAGTTGATAGAATATGCTGAAGAAAAAGGGTTAATGCTGCAAGGGTGGATACATGTGAATACTTTGTATTTCAATATGAACAGATTATAGTTATGGCAGAATGCTAAAATATATTATTTGAATTCATTTTAGACACATCCATCACAAACTTGTTTTATGAGTTCGATGGATTTGCATACACACTCTTCTTATCAAGTTATATCTCCAGAGGCAATTGCTATTGTATGTGCACCAAGGCATGAACCAAAGTATGTGATTAACTTTTTCTTATCTTACATTATGGTCTTTTAATAATCATTAAATATTTATTCCTTTAAATAGCTTTGGAATCTTTCGATTAACTAATCCACCGGGATTACAGACTGTTCTTCAATGCACACAAAGAGGATTTCACCCTCATAATTCCAACTTACCCATTGACAAAGTTTGTTGAATTTCTTTGATTTATGTTTTATTAATAATATTTATTTTTTTTATTAAAATATATTCTCTTATTATTATAGAATATTGTGGGTCAAGGTCACGTCATCTTGGATAACAATATGAAGCTTGATATTATTGATTTACGATAAAAAATTTATGAGCAAAATTATTTATAATAGACTCCTTTTAAAACGAATACTATCATTATGTATATAATAACGTATTGGTACAATATCAATTATTATTTTATCCATTTTCTTTAGAAAACTTACAATTTAGTTTCTTTCATTTAATATAAAATTGATTAGTATTTATCTTGTATATAATCCTAATATAGATTCAAAAATTTGAACTATAATTAATTTATCAAACGTTCTTATAAAGAAAATAATTTAGTTAATGTTAATACAAAAGAATGATATTTATTATGAGTTTTAATGAAAAATTTGGTTAAAACTTTGATATAAAAAAAAAATATATATTTATTAATAGTATCAACTGATTAATCTTTATTAAATTACTTAATAAAATTTATTATAATTTAAATTATTATTTAAATTATTTCCTTAAATAGTAATAATTTTCATTTTATTATAAATTAATAATATTTAAATATATAAATGTTATTTTGTATAGTTTTTTTTTAATATAAAAGATAAATAAAAATTATAAGTTTTAGCTTTTATAAAGAAAATACTTTTATTAAAAAATATTCAAAACTTTGTAAATTAATGCAAAAAGTTACTAATTAATGTAATTTTTTTTTACAATTTATTTAACGATGTTTTTTTTGTTTGATAACTAATTTTTAAAATTAACTTTAATTAGTAAGTAAAATTCCCTAAATTTGAAAGAAAAGCTATTAAAGAAATATCTTTTATTAACAATAATTTATATATATATTTATAGATTATATACTAACCTATTCTAAATAATGCAATATTAACTGAAAAAACTAAATTACTACAGTTTTCTTCCAGTTGGCTTAGTGGAATACCACCATGTGATATAATTATATCACATGGTGGTATTCCACTTACCTTAGATTATATCACCACCATATAATCTGAATACCACTATATAATCTGAATATCACCATATGATCTAAATAACACTATATAATCTGAATATCACCATATGATCTAAATATCACCATATAATCTAACTACCACCATATAATCTAAATATCACCATATAATCTAACTACCACCATATAATCTGAATACCACTATATAATCTGAATATCACCATATAATCTGAATACCACTATATAATCTGATTATCACCATATGATCTAAATATCACCATATAATATAACTACCACCATATAATCTAAAAGATATAATCTAACTACCACCATATAATCTAAATAATATAATCTAATTATCACCATTCAATCTATTTATTTTCTTGCGTCAGATATCTATTTTATATTCTAGCTATCCATTTAAACCCTTCCTGATATTCATATCATTTACCACTATATAATCTAACTACTACCCACCATTTAATCTAACTACCACTATGAGATCTGAATACCACGCTTTTCTTCTTGTTTCTGATTCTTTTGCATACCCATTTCTATATTGTAGTTATAAGCTTTCCAGCCTTGTTTGGATATCTGGTTCTATGTCGAGGGTACTGGCCTCCTGCGCCTGACTGAGTGCTAGATTGCATATTGAAGTACTTACCCTTTGCGCCTATTTGGTTGCCTTTTAAAATTCTGAAATTGTGTAAAAAAAGAGGCGACGGGTGGCGCAGAGGCTATACCATACCCAAATACATATCATCAAGATGAGGGCTTCTGCAGATAATTCATCAGGTGATGCATACATACTAGTGTTAGGGTAGCCTTCTTTTATTATTTTATATAATATTTCTGAAAAAGGCTACCTGAATACATATATCCGGATACATATTAGTGATAGGGTAGTCTTCTTCCATTTTTATATAATATAATTCTAAAGAAGACTACCCTAAATATCACCTACTAAGAATCGATTTATCTGCGATTTGCTTACTAAGTTCAGATGGGGGCTTCTGCCAATATTTATATAATAGATTACGCAGAAGCCTTACTTTCAGTTGCATATTCATTTGCCTTCCTTTTACGATTTGCTTACTAGGTTGCTATACGCCTCTTTTTACATCCTCTGAAAAAAATTAATTAAACATTTCCGAATTTTATAAAGTAATATAAATATTTTCAAACTAACATCATGCATACACAAACTAATTTCGTCCAAACTGATCGCGGAACTCTCGCCCGCTACGACGGCGCCGAGTCTTTAGCTGGTATACCATCACGTAATAATATTGAGACAGAATTTGATGATAGGATGACCAATATACTTCAACGAAGCTTATCGGGCAAGAAACCCATACATTTCATGCCTATTGAAGTTAGTGATGATACCTCTGAATATGTAAATGGTATCTCTTTCTATATTTTGCGTATTACTGGTACTTTGATTAATGGACAAAAAGCAATCGTAAAAATTACAGGCATTAAGCCTTTCTTTGATGTCGAAGTACCTGAAGAGATGCCACTATCTACGTTTAAGACCAGATTAGTAAATATATTATCCAATACTCTCAAAGGTACATCAAAATTTGGGATCGAGAATATTAGTGCTTTCCCACTTCGAGGGTATCATACAGAGAAAAAATCATATATACGTGTTATTACTTGGAATCAATTTGACCGGTATAATGCGTTAAAGGCAGTTCGTGAAGTCGGTATCTGTACAGCTTCTGATGATCTAACCCCAATATATTATTACCGCAAAGTAGCCTGTGAAAAAAGATTACCTCTTTCAAGTTGGGCAACGTTAAGTAATTATTTCCACGAATATATTCAAGGAGGTACTTATCTCTTCCAAGTTTCTATGAATAATTACAATCCAACAAGTGAGGATGATTATAATAATCTATTATTCTCCTTAGCACTTTCACAGGATCGCACTCTAGTCCTTACATGGGACATAGAGACATACAGTTCATGAAGAATGGGTGGGGCACCTAATGCAAAATACGAAGAAGATAACGTATTCATGATTGGCATGACAGTTCATTGGAAAGATGACCCTAATCCATTAAAACAGTTCTGCCTTGTCGATGTCGAAACTGCGTCAGACCCGAACTGGATCACAGTTATATGTGAAAACCAAACTAATTTGCTAAAAACCTTCGCCTTGTGTAAGAAACTTTTATCCCCGGATATACAAATAGGGTTTAATGACTCTCAATATGACTGGCCATTTATTGTGGAGAAGGCCAAGAAGTTAGGAGTTCTTGAGTTGATGTTCAACCATATGTCTATCAAACCTATGAGTCTAGAAAAAATTACAAAATGGCAATATCAGTGTAATATGATAAAAGTAAACGATGGGAACTTTTATTCGAGGCATCTTAAAACCCTCGGATGTGTGGCTATTGATGTCTGACCTTATTTTAAGAAATTCTACCCTAAAGCTGAAAAAAGTAGTCTCACATATTACTTAAGGGAGTGTAATCTTGACAACAAAGTGGATTTACCTATTCACCACATGAACAAATATTATGAAAGGGCATTAAAAGAAACCAATGCCACAATGGCTGAGCAGATGCGTTAAGTTGCCAAATACTGCATTATCAATGCTCTTAGCTGTCAGCGGTTAATAGTCAAGCGTAATGTAATCAATGAATATAAGGAGATTACAAGTATAGCATTTATATTATTATTCGATACATATTATTTTGCAATAGGAATGAAAGTGTGTAATTTTTTAAGTGTCAGTGCGTGACAGAAAGGAATTTTAACCTGTATAATTCCATGTGAACAAACGAAAACAGGAAAATACCCTGGAGCCTATATTTTCTTACTGGTAAAAGGTCTCAAAAATAGACGTCCTGTAACTGACTTAGACTTTGCTGTATCTGAGTCTTATCATGACATACAATTTCTCATCCAATAAAATTATTTTATCTTGAAAGCATGCCAAATCTCTAAAGAAAAGTGATAAAAAGCTTCATGAAATAAATTTCAAATTCAATAATCGGGATGTTCTCATGTGATCTATAGAGCATGAAAACCAAGCCAAAATAAAAGGCCTATATCCAAAAGTATTGGAGGGGTTGCTACAGAGGGTAGCTAAAAGTTTTCGAATACTAAGTTTGACATCGTATATCTCAAGATGCTCCGATCAGAATTAGTTCAAAATTATATATATATTTAATACAATCTCAATATATAATATATTAAAATTTCATTTAATTTGAATCGGTGAAAACTGAGATATGTTTGTAAATGTAAATGCATAAATATTTTTGATTTGAGATTTTAGTTGTAGTTTTTGAAATATATTTTCTAAATATCTAATGATTCAATTAAATAAAATTTAAGTATATAATAAATAAATACAGTGGCTTCCAAAAGAAACGCAAGTGGCATTGCTTGCCTTTAATTGCCTGTAACTCACTGTGCACGAATGCTA